GAGGAACAAGAATAGCAGGGGACAAAAAACAAAAAAAAAAAAAAAAAAATGAAGAAGAGTGATACATGTGAACCAACTTCCCACGATGAATGTCTTATTGTACCAATAAGAAAAGGAGACTGAGGCTTTGATCCAATATGAGAACAAGTGAGGGTGACACCCAGCCCGCGTCCTGGAGAGGGCACCCCTCCTCGTGGCTCCCACACTTTCTACCCCCTTCAGTCCTGAACCTATTAACCTTCTCAAGTGTACAGGTTTGCACCCTGTTCCCTCCTGGATCTGAGATTCTTAAATATTCATTCTTAAAACAGACACACGTGCTCTAAGTTCTGCACACGCATCACATGTGCCACCCAGAAGCAGTGTGTTGACAGCTCAAGAATTACGTGGCATGGTACAGTAGGGTGACATGGGCTCCACAGCAGATCCTAATCTAAACACTGCTTAAAGAAGTTATCATAATCTGTGCTATCATCATATCATCATCATCATCATCATCATCATCATCATCATCATCCTCTTCTGCTTTACCTAAGAACATGGCCTAGGCTCCTTCCACCCTTTCTTCTTTCACCGTCAGTCAGTCAACTATTTCCTTCCTCATAATTACGAGGTACCTAAAATGGTACCAGGAGCCCACGTTCTCACACAACAATTTCTCTCACCTTTTTTCATCAGATAGATAAAGCTTTCCTTAATGCCCTGAATGACTGTCCTTCTAGCTCATTAACCAGAACCGTGTCACAGGGTCCTCCCTACCTGTGAAATGTGCTAAGTAAAACAGAAAGCAGTCATGAACCAGAGCCACACACAACGCTTATCACCGAACAAGTGACGGCATGCATGTGGGAGCTGGGGTGGTGGTGACCCCTGGAGTTCCTGCGTGCCAGGAGGCTGAGGCGAAGAGATCACAAGTTTGAGCCGAGCCTGGGACATCTAGTGACATTGTCTCTGAATAAAAACCAAAAAAAAAGGCGAGTGGGGCTGCTGGGTTGCAGATGAGTGTGGAATCCTGAGGCTTAACCTCCAGGACCACTTAAAAAAAAAAAAAAAAGGAAAAGAAAAATACATCCAGGAAACAATAACTATGCTCCTTCCTGGGAGAGGTGGGGCTCCACAGAGGCGAATGAGGTCCTGGGAACACAGAGAGAGTGTGACGTCTGATCGTGCCCACTGCAGTGGCTCCGGGCACTCTTCCTACCTGTGCCTATGCCTCAAGCTCCATTTCATAGAGGTTTTTGATTCAGGTACACGTTCACTTGGTTCAAGTCCCAGGCTTCTTAGACCTCAGGCCAGCAGGATCCCCCAGAGTGCAGCAATCCACTGCCAAAACCCCACAGCAAGACATGCTAGTACAACCTCTAATGAGCTGACGAGACCAAAAAGGCTCATATCTGTCCGGTTCTTACCCCCTAAACAAACCAACAGAAAATGCTAAGAAAGTGGATTGCATAAGATCAGTGTTTGTTTCTTGGTGGTTTAGAGAAGAAAAAGGCACTTTTTGTTACATCATCACTTTCCAATTTCTGGCCAAACCCCTGCAGTTTTTACCACGCATCATTTTTGTGATTAATGACGTGCACCCAGTTAATGGAAAACAGTAGATTAGGTTTCCACTAATAGTTTTGCAAGTTATGTATGTCGTCTGTCTGCCTCATTTAGTACCAATCTCACTGTTCAGTAAGAAACTAATGGGTTTAATCCCAAAGTAGAATTTAGCTTTATGCATACAAGACAGGTCAGATTTCCAGAGTGGAGAAAATTACACTCTTAGAGGTGCCCGGGTTTTCAGTTACAACCTAATACTGAGATGCTGCCCTATAAGGTTCTACTTTTTCCTTTTATTTCTACATAACCAAGCACTTTAGGAGTCTGTGGTACTAGCATAAGGCCTATAAAAACACATGATTTATTTTGCAACCATTACAAAAAAAAGTAATAATAATTTCCATTATTTGTATGCTGAGCTGAAAAGACATCTATTATTTTGAATTCATAGGTAAGAAACAGTTTCTTCTACCATAGTATATTAACATAATTGTAGTCCAAAAACTGATTGTAAAAAGTATATAATCATTGACATTCTACAATTTAATAGTGTTTTGAATGAAAAAAAAAAAAAAAAATACTAGTCTGCCTTCCACACAGCCAGCATTTTCATCCATTCATGGGTTGGACCAACCATGAAAAACAAACACATTTCCAGAAACTATGTCAAAAAGAAAGCTGAAGAAAATGTGAAATACCAAATATTGAAATCCAATGCATTCATGAAATGGTTAAGTTGATACACAATCTAAGATAATTCATCCTGGCAAGTCTAATCAGAGGTTCTCTTTAAAATGAGATGGTTAAATCTATTTTTTATGGTATTATCACTTCTTCCCTTAGGAAAATATCCTCTTGTTTTTAAATTTCTTTTATTAAATGTATTTTTTATCTCCTTATATGAAAACATTCTGGAATCTTAACCAATTACTTGAATAGAAGTTGGTTGGAGATACAGAAATTTTGAATAATAAATTTTCCCCTCTGTAAGACAAGTCTGACATGAGCATCTGCATAGATACAACTTGGTCCTCTTCTTACACAAAAATAGAAATCAAGTCTCCAAATTTCTCAAATGGAATTTCAAAACTGGCCTCCGGTTATCTAGTGCTGAAATCAGATGAGGTTCTCATTATTTAAACAGAGTCTATCAGCACTTATATCACCTCGCAACAGGCTTTCCCTATAGACCATAACTCACCAAAGCTTGATACTTATTTTGAAAGCCATCAATAATGTATTTTTCACAGGGCTTCCCAGTGACAGGAAAGCTACATAAATATACTGTACACTGTGTGATGCTTGATGCACAGGTGTGATTAGATATCTAAATGACTGAACTGATGAAAGGATCGATCAATTTATTGAGCACTAAGCACATAAATAACAAACACTATGTTGTTTGCTCACACTGGGTACATTTTGTCAGTTAAAGTATACATAAAAGTTAGGCCAGGCACATAGCTCAGCAGCACAGCACCAGCCTGGCAAACACAAGGTCACGAGTTCAATTCCTGGCAGAAAAAAAAAAAAAAAAAAAAAGGAAAAGAAAAGAAACACAGAAGCAGACTACTCACTGAAGAAATACTCTTCAACAGTAACACATTTACTCTCAGGATCCATGTATTTAAGTGGTTTCTTTCTTTCTTTCTCTCTGACAAGACATTTCCAAAAAAAAAATATCTCCCTGGTCAGGTTGCAACTCACACAAGCATTACTTCAGGATATCACAGGCACATGTGACCTATAGCATTTGTCACTCAGAATGATCTTAAACAAAGAACAATTCATGCAGTCCAAGGCACCATAAGTCAACATTAAACTAACACTGCAATAACCAGTGCCACCAGAAATTTTATTAGTATCTGTGACTCAACATGAGATCTTTACAGGGAGAGGGAAAAAATGATACACATCTTATTTCTTAGTTATGAAGGGAAATAAGCAGGCAAAGGTGTATTAGTTACCTAAATCTACCTCTTTCTTTCTAAGACAGGGCTAAGAGTTTGATTCCCTAAAGAAAAGGAAACTCCACAGGAAGCAAATAGCAACCAGGGTTCAATAGAAGGGATCCGAACCCTGAACCCACATGTGTGAGGATTTTGTTAGATTAACCTGTTATGCAGGCCTTTCATTTGTGTTATGCAGGCTGAAGGTGTTGACAGTTTTATGCTGCTGAATTAGAGCTTCCTCCTCCCAGCCTCGGGTTAAGCTCCGATGACAGATTCTTGAAAAATGAGTAGACTGCATGAGGCTTGCAGGGTAAGTCCGGGATGACAGCCCTCCACCCCCTGAAATCCTGAGCCCTGAGGGTGCAGCTCTTGCTCTCCCATCAGCCTGGCACACACAACCAACACCCCCCCATACATTCAGCCCTCCTGAAGCTGCAGCCAAGAAGCCTGAAGGACACCTCCAAACTGGAGAAAACCACAGATCCGCCGAGGAGCCATGGAATCAACCAGGACCTGATGAAAATCCACTGAGCTCACAATAGACACATGACCCAAAACTGGAAGCCTTAACTGTGAAGCCATGCCTATGACACAACAGACGGCGGTAATGCAGAGAAATCCCCTGAAGGAAAAGCAAGAGGCACAAACAGTGTTCTTCTCTCTTGGCCAAAGAAGGGCAAGTCTAACCTGAAAAAAAATGGCTCATTTTTAAAAAGCAAGAATGAGTCTGTATTTCAAACCAAGATGATAGAAATGTAACTACATAATTACTGTATATACACTACCACTGGTAATCACAAAGTATGCTTTTACATGAATGGATTCCATTAGGATGCATAATAAACTATAAATAAGTATTTTAATATTGAAATATCAAGGTCTAACAAAAGATGGGCTTTTACAAAAAAATAATAATTTAGTTTCCAGGGGCTGAATGTCACATGATCTCTTTTGTTAAACCACATAAACTCAGACATACAAACATGAAGCACATATTGATGTTATTCATTGTCTATTTTAATCATAATCAATTAAACCTACTTGGAATAAAACAAAACAAAATTATTATAGGCAACTTGTCTTTTTTTGATTTGCTTATTTTTATGTCCTGTTAATTGTCAAAAATATGAGGTCTTAATGAAAATATCTCCTCTTAATGAAACACCATTTCGTCCCCTTTTACACGCTATTTTCCATAAATCAGTAAGCCAGTGCAGTCTAAATGTTATAGTCAAAATATTAAAAAGGTTATTTCTTCTCCCAAAAATCCATAGGACTATGTCTGTTAATAAGTAGTGCTCTGCCAGCCAATCAAAAATGTTAGGGCCCAAACCTACTATTTTCTGAACGGTGTACTTCTAAAGGGTGTATGCCAGTGTAGTCAACGCCCTCTCCAAGGATACAGCTTGTGGAGATCAGAGGGACAAATTCTCCCTTACTGAGTATCCCATTCACAGCAAGATCTAATACATCAAAGCATAAAACAAAAATGATGATTACCTGATACTCATTGGGCCAAAAGGTGCTCACTGCTAGCTCAGCCCGAAGCCAGTCTCGACCTGTGAATCCAGTCACATTCCAAATTGGATTAGCAAGAGGTCCTTTGTTCACCCTAACAAGGATGTTCAATGTGCCAGGGTTCAGCCCTTTCTGGCTGTATAACAGGTAGCTGAAATCAACACAGTGAGTATCATTCTCCTTCATGGTAGGCAGCTGAAGTCGAGCTTTCTCTCCAGGATCATGAATTGAAGAGTCCACTACCATGTAGGAACCTGAAATGACATCACAAATAATGGAGATAGATTTTTTAAGCCAAAAGGAGCATATAACAACAAAGGGTACCAATCCATTATGAATATTAATACTAACTCGAAAACTATCACTACCAGAACAGAGTCTAGGAAGATATCAATCAACTAAGGAAGTAAATTAAATCCTTCCTAGGTAACAGACACTGTTCAAAGTACACACACGCATTAACTCATTAGAAAATTGTTATTTTACTCATGGAGAGATCAAGGCACTACACAGTGTGACAGACCAGGTAACCTGGCCGAAACCAAGGTCTTACTCCCAAAACTCTTTACCTCGATGAAACAGAAAGGTACTTTTAAATGCATAACACAAGCAAACCAATATCTTATTGGCTTGATACACATGGAAAGTATACAGTTACTTTACCCAACAGAATATTATTGTAGGGAGAAGGACTAGGAATGCAGGTAGAGAATCATTTCTAATTTTCAATTCCAAGATCACTATTTATGGAAGTGCATGACCTTGTGCCATGCACCAGTCACTTTGGACCTCAGTTTGGAGGGAAGGAGCATTTTGTAGAGGCCATGTGAGGGCTAGATCTATACTTTGCTGAAACTCTAACTTGAGTGTATGATAGGCTAATGCATCACCTCTGTTCTTTGGGCTTCAATAGATTTTTTTCCCTGCTAGGGTTGCAAACTGTCAAGTTTCAAATCCGTAATCCCACCCACCCCCTTGAATTGAATGAGGACTCAGTAGTGTATCTCTCACTAGAAGGCATAAGACCTATGCAGTCCAGGACTCTGGATTGCAGACAAAAGCCAGGCAGTGACCAACTGGAACAATGGGACTTAGAAACCACATTGTACTCCATCTGAGACCCAGAACATCACCAGAAAAACAAACAGCAGTGCTCATCTCCAAGTGGACACTGATGAAGGAACCTGGAGCAAAAATATACTTATCATGCAAAAGGGATAACAAAAATTTTATTTGTAATGCTTTTCTCCTATGATGTCATTTTAACCATAGCATATGAGGTATGGAGCTTCCAAACCCAAGTTCGCAGGGGTTACAGGGCACTCCCTTTTCCTGAAAACATGCATAATTAATCCATCTCCTATATCTGTTCTTTTTTTTTTTTTTTTTTTTGTCTTTTTCGTTTTTATCGGTACCAGGGATCGAACTCACGACTGCCTGCTTGCAAGGCAGGCACTTATGCCACTGAGCTAAATCCCCAGCCCCCTATATCTGTTCTTGAAAATGTAATTTACAGCCATGACATAGTAAACATTCAACGACGGCTGCTCTGAAAAGTTCACATAACCCAGACAACATGTTCAGTCATGGGCATCGGGAGCTACCATGAAGATTCTGTATAACATTTTAACACAGTTTAAGTACAGCGGCGCTGCAGTATAGGAGTAGTAACTGATGTTTACTTCAGTTTCCCAGTTCTCATCTTTTCTCCTAAGCTGAAATGCATTTCTTTGGTTTGTTTTGTTTTTGTTTCTTTGGTAATTCCAACAGATGGCAGATTAATAAAACAAATTACCCATATACACTTTTGGGGGAAAAATGTCTCTCCCATAACAGGATATTTTAGATCCTAATCAGATTTACAGAAGCAGGATGTTTCTATTCTTGGTTACGGTCACATCCTAAAGCTCATGGCTGATCAGCGAGATGTCTTTCAGACTTTCCATTGCATAGCAGAACACATGATTGCTCTTAGCTAGGACCTGAGATAAGTTATTTCATGTTACTAGGCTTCGGTTTGTTCACAAACTTGTGATCTATTTCTCCACTGCTATAATAATTTCTGCAGTAATGCATTATGGCAATAGTAGATTTCAATTACCTTCATAAATTTAGGTCAATTATGATTTCTGATTATCAATTTCAAAATAGGGGTCCCTACATGATTATTGGTATTTTAATAGTCATTTTCTTCCATATAAAATAAAGGTTAGAGCAAAATATGTTTTGGGTCAGATTTCAATTATATATTTTGATATTTATTATTAAAACCATAAAGGAATTTCCAGCCAGTTGCACTTTTAAGCTATAATAATTTTATTATAAGAAAATGTGATGAGAAAACTACATTCGTTTGTAAAGCTTACCAATTTGACTATTAGAAAAAGCCACAAGATAAAAGTATACTCAAACCATTTCAGCATTCAAGGTCATTCAAGCCCAGTTCTATGATAATGGACGTTGGTGCTGAAAACTCATTTCTATAGCATGTTTCTGTTAAATGGCCTAATGTCAACACAGCCTGATAGCTCTGGCTGCTGAGTGCTATGGAGAACGAATGCATTAACTACAGAGCTCCAGAAAGGAAGCAGCAAGCATTCCTGCCAGAAAGCCCTCTAAATACAGAGTGGGAATTTACACAGTGGGTTCCGGGGACAGGGCTGTCCATTTAACATAAGATACCCCACCATCACCCAAAACACACACGACCTGAATTAGGTTTTTATTTTACTTTATTTTATTTTAAAGAGGAAAAAAGAAAAAGCAAAAAGCAAACAAATAATAAAAAAAGAAAATAACAAAAATAAACAACAGCAATATAGGATTTCAAAACAAGATGATAGGAATTTAACAATGTGTATTAAGTTGCAAATTATTTTTCTAATTTTGTTGTTTGTTGTTGTTGTTGTTGTTGTTGTTGTTGTTGTTGTTCTGGGACTCAAACTCAAGTCCTTGTGCTTGCCAGGCAGGCGCTTATGCCACTAAGCTATATCCCCAGTGTAACACTGAATTCTTACTAACTTTGCAAGTTATGACTAGAGTCTCCCAGAATAACTGGCCCTTAACTTTTAAGTCTGAAAATACTAGAATATGTGCCTCTCTTATTGTTTATTACTGTGGTTCTGGCACCCTATGAGTAACCCTTCAATTCTCTAATAAGAGCTTAGCAGTGTTGTGTTTTGGGTAATTGAAGACTTTATGACAAACGTCTGTGTTCACACACATGCCGTCTGTACTTTTACTTAACAATTTCTTTAACGTGGCCTTACCAATGTTCTTTACAACGTTCCTGAGCAATGAGCTCACAAACATGTCATTCCTGATAGTAGAGAAAAACTTACACATTCATATTATCTTTAAGAAAGTATAACTTTCTGGAGAGCAATTTGGCAATAAGAACAAAAAAAGCAAAGCGATATATACCCTCTGCTGTGGCAATTCCAAGTTAACAAATGTATATTATATAAATATGTGAAAGTTTACAAAGATATAACTCAATAAGATATTCACCTCATGATCACACTGCTTGAAATGAAGAAAAAAGGAAGGACTTTAAATATTCAGTGATAAGCAATTTATAAAATTATGATTAATTAATTCAATGAAGAATTATGTAGTAGTTAAGAATTATATTAAAAAGATCTCATGGAAGCTATTTCTATTTATGTAAAATATTTAGGATATAAATATTACACTCATTTATAAAAATGTACATTTATCTTAAATATACTCTGCCGGGTGGGTATTCAAAATGCATGCAAAAATGACATCAAAACACAAACAGTGCATTATTGGGGCTCTAGGTATCTTCTTTATTTTTGTTTTTATATAGTTTCTGAATGCTGTGCAATGAATACACCTTAGATTTGTATTTTTATTAAAAAGAGAATACACAAGTACTATCTGACATAAGAAGCAGCAATTGAATAATAATACTTAATAAACAAATAAATGTTGTTAGCTTTTTAAAAAAAAGAGATGCTCTTTAAACCACACAGCTTAAAGGCATCATGATATTTATTTAGTTATTTACTGACTTTTTGACATGTGGTCTCGTTATGCAGTTCACCTTGGTCATGAACTCACTTTGTAACCCAGGCTGGTTTTGAACTCACTGGTTTTGATCCACCTGCCTCAGCCTAACCAAGTGCTTGGATGACAGGCATGCACCCCACACCCAGCTAGCATCACGGCATTTATAAAAACACAATATGAAAACCAAATACTTCATATTTCAGCTCAATAAGAAACAGAGAGAAAAGTAGCCATTACTTATAATACATGGCAGTTTCTATTTAAAGAATAGCCAAAGAAGATGGGTCACAAATTCTTAAGGACCAGAGTCCAACATATAGGTGAATAAGCAATGCCCCATGGATTTACTATAGTGATGAATATTTTTTCTGTAAGCTACACTTGTAGGGAAAACTTTAGCATTGGAAATCAGATTAACTGATAGCCAAGAAAATAACGATTGCTACATAGCTGTCTGTACCTTATTCTTAAATTCCTTTACTCACATGTTGTGTGTGTGTTTATTTACATTCTGGTGCACTAACACAGTATTTTCATGAACTGGTCTTTATCTAGCATTTATGGAAGACAGATGGAAACTTCAGCATCTCTGCTGGGAAGCCCCCTCTCCACCATCTTGCTTGACTCCTGTTACTCTCACTTCTGTTCCACAGCCACTCCCTGATGTGAGGGACCCCGAGCCCTGCCCTCCTGCACAGCCTTCCTTACCAAAGCTGGTCTGCAGTTTCTGAATTTCTCATTCTAGCCCTTCGTCTCACACTGATGTTATGCAAATGTTGGATAATATATAAAAGGATCATTTGTAAAAGACTACCTTTTCAGAAAGAAAAGCAAGCAATGAATGTGGGGGGAGGGACATTGCTCAGCATCCCTCTGAAACAAGGCGTGGACCTAGCATGTTGCACGATGGAGAAGCTGGCTGTCTCTCAGGCTGGTCCACATCTACCAGCGCAGCACAGCCATGCAGCTGGACGCCAGGAGGCTTGGGATGCCCAGCAGGTGACTACAAGATGACTGTCAGGCCAGGGCTGGAATGTCAAGCTCATCAAGGAACTCTATGTATGGACACATGCACAACTGCCCTGTGCAGTACCAGTGAGAGGAGAACACCAAAGCAAACTCAAGCAGGAATAGCAGTATCCTTCCTTCCACCATGTCTCTCCTCTTTCCCATACTCACCATGGTGCCACAACAGCTGTAGAAGAAAACATGTAGAGAA